ATTTTGATAATTCGATAAGACGATTAGACTACGAGTGTGTTGTAATTTTATAATTATCGATACCCCCCTCAACGCGATTTGTCAGCTGAAGAAAAAATGTGCGATTTTTGCAAATTGGGCAAAACGCGAAGAACAAGACGGTAATCGTTTCAAATTATCGTATCAAAAATAATTAGACTATTCAATTGTTACGGAATCAAATCATTTTTGCAAGACCGGACAAACTCGTGGCGAGGATTGATATCGCGATATCGCTTTTTGGAAAAGATTAATATTTAATCTATTCATAGATTATTTTTGTGGAAAGTAATACAGTTGATATTTTATAGTAGAATATCTCAAGATTCAGGAAAAAAACGCTTCTTTTTCCAACTTTCTACGCAATAAATCAACTCGTATTCATCCTTCTCCTCTTTTATACGTGTTAAAAAAATGTACATGTACTCCAAAATATATATTAATGTGTATATTTATTTTTGTAAATCTCACTTTTGTCGCGCGTTTATAACAAGCTGTCGCCGTACGCGACGAGTCTGCACAAGTCGCGAGATGCGATTGGCTAAAAGTTTCGCACCTGCGACCTTCTTCCTCTCAAGGTACGCGCGTCGCGCGGAATCAACCGGTGCGAATTTTAACGCGCGCCATGCAAAACGTGTGCGCAAACGGTTGCCCCTCGGCACCTGAAAATTTACGCCCGGTATATACAATTCAATCGGCCGTCTTGTGTATCGGTGAATAGCGCGCGCGGAATTTATACGATTGATACTCGCGCCGTTCGGTGAATGAATTCGCTTTGTTAATTTTATCGAGCTCTCTCTCCCTCTCGACGGCATCGATCGCTTATCGATCGCGGAGATATTTCCCGCAGGCGGGCGTTTAGAAAAACATGTAAATTTAATAGGATGGTATCACGCACGATGGATCGTCCTTTGAACGTATTCGCGTTTTAGAATATCCATCTGCTTGGCTATCGCTCGTGATAAGATCAAAAGGATTTTCTCTCTCTCTCTCTTGCGAGAATAAAATAATAAAAATCAACGGCAACATAATAATTGACGCGTGTAATAAGCAAACGCGTTACCGTCTTTACTTGTCGGATAATGTCGAAGATAAATGATCGCGGGGAGTGGCAAAAATACGCGATAGCGTAGAGCGACGCGTCCGTTTCTAACGCGAATAACGACGGTTTTTCAAGCGAGCCTGCGTCGCGTCGGTCGCGCCTAAATAACGCCTTCGCCTGCCTCGGAGTCTAATTTCGCAGATAAGGCGGCGGTCGTCGCGAGACGACGTAATCTAGTTACTAGGCGTACAATCTAATCGACCGATTCGTATTATGTGTACGCATACCTGCACGTACAAACTACACTTCTATTTCGTAGAATCTCGCACTCTAGCCCGATAGCGCGATAAAGAGTTCGTTTGTCTTTGATGCTACCCGAGGCTCTTGGCGAGGGTTACGCAATCCGCGCTCACCTCTCTCCATCCTCGCGTTAATTCAACTATCTGCTGTCTTCAAGTTGACGCGTCTACGCGCGAGATAAGACTTCCTGCCGCTGACGATTCCGCGAAATGTCATTGGCAATAAATCAAGCGATCGAATAAACGACACGGTAAGCGTACGATGGAATCGTCGTGTAAACGCTCGACGTAACGTGGAGCGTCAAAAAGTTGAATCATAATTTTTATCAAACTCGATTCTCTTCTTCTATTTTCGCAATTCGAACAAATATATAGAAGAAAAAATGTAAATGTTGCGTACAGACAAAAAATCCATGTTTTACTACTGGAACACGTTTAAAAATACATCTTTCGAGATGCTTTGTACACGCGACCAAGTTTTCCGAAGCTACGTGCGTTTGCTTCAATTTCTAAAAGGGAGCGATTTTTACATGCCCGTTTGAGAGTAAGAAGAGATAAATACGCGCGCGTACGACCATTTTACGGCGTCCAATAATTCTCAGAGCGAAGAATCTCGAGGAAGGAGCGAAGAGCGGGGAGGAGAAGGCGAGGAAGAACGGGTGGAATAACGGGTGAGATTCAGCGTCCGTTATGGTTCAAGGAGAACACACCGTTATCGGATACATCCCTTTTCTCGTATGCAGGTGCTTCCGAGAAAATTAAACTGGCCATCGCATCGCTCTAATTTGCCTCAGCGTATTAATGCTACCGGGCAAATATGCGCTCGAGAGCTAATTACATTATAAATTAATAGTCAATAAGGATCGACGGTCATTTCTGTGATAATTGGAACGTATGCGACAAGATTTTTTTGTCCACAAACGACGAAATAAAATGTCGCGAATCTCTGGATTCTCATACATATTTTTAGAAAAAGACGTTAAGTAATCAATTATCAATTGTCTGTTGCAATAAAGTCACTCGAAAAGTAATGGGCGATAAAAAAATATTGGTACATGTATGTGTATTTTTTTTCAATATTGCACATTTTTTATTTATACTCTTGCGTTTCATGTAATACTCATTTATTTTTGGTTTTGTCTCGAAACTTTCGCAAGCTTAACAACGCGTTGTCTCTTTAATTTTAACATGATTTAATATATTTTTTAGTCTTTTTATTTTTGAAACATGATTCGTCGACGTGTATTCAATATTTTTATCGCTATCATTTTTCGATTATCAAGAGACTTTATCAGGATATATGTGGCAGTAACTTTGCAATTGTCTATTATAATAAAGTCATTTGACAGTCGAAAAATAATAAGCGTTAAAAATATCGATACATATATTTTTCTTTTTCAATATTGCACATTTTTTATTTACTTGTCTCTTGTGCCAAGTAATATTTATATATTTTTTTTAGTTTTTGCTCTCGAAACTTTCATCAAGCTTAACACGCTGTTTCCTGGACCTTTTAATTTTAATTATTTAATATCTTTTCGAATGTCTTTAATTCAAATATGATTCGTCGACATCGCTATTTATTATTTTCCGGCTATCGATTGATTTTACGGCAGCGATTTTGCTAGATTATTGCCAGATTAATCGATTTCTTCGAATTATCATACATTATAATCGGATGTGATTTTATTGAAAATGTTAGAGCAATAATCGCGCGATCGAGAGACGTCGTCGACGAGAGATATTGGCAGACGACCGCAGCTTTGTCCCGAAGCTACATCCTTGAGAGAGAATCGCCTCTGCACCCGGACAAGTTTTATCGTCGCGTATATATACGCCGCACGCGCGCATACGAAGCGAATGCACGCGGTGGCTAAGTTTTTCAGGAACGTTCGCGTCATCATCGAGGCTTCTTATTTTTTACCAGAGGTTCGGCCGCGCGTCTCCCCCCCTCGCCCTCCGTGTCGCGTCCTCTCCTACGGTTTCTCATTCTTTCTCTCTCTCTCTTTCTTCGACGTTCGACGTTCGCGAGATCTATTTATACCTAGGTCCGCGCTGTTTTCGACTCGCTGCACGGCCGTGCAACAAACCTAAGCCGCGTCGCTCGTAAAAATAGGGAACGAACGTATACGGACGTCGAGAGGGAGACGCGCGATCCAAAGAAATAATCGCGTCGCAGGTGCGTCAAACGGAGAGGATTTTTCTTAATCTAATAGATTTTATGTCGCGCGACTCGACGCCCGCGGTTTAGAGATGCGCGCCCGCTAAAAGAGAGAAAAAAAAACCACAAACAGTTCTCGCGCAAAACACGCCGATATGGATACCGTGCCAAAACTCGCAGGTATTAAAATCCTGCGACCTAAAAAAAATACGTAATCGCCCGCAGTTAGCGAACGGGGAAAAAATAAATAAATAAAATAAAACACGCGGCTCGCGCGCGGCGGCAACGTGACGAAATCGGGTTCGCGGGGGAGGAGAAGGGAGGGAGCGAGAGAGAGAGAGAGAGAGAGAGAGAGAAAAGGAAAAAAAAAGCTGAAAAAAAAGAGGAAAAAACGATTACTCCCACGCGCGGCGAGAGAGAGCTCCGCGCCGCCAGACGAGGCGTGGTACGATGGAAAACGAGAGTGAACCGCGTAGAATCGAGCGCGTACGCGCGCGGCGACCGTGGCACGGTCGTGACGGCGGCCCCGGCCTCGGCTCCGGAGAAGCGGACGCGCACGAGACCGACAAACGCGTTACGCGAGGCTCGAGCGCCTCTCGCGGCGCACGGAGAGCGAGAGCGGAGAGCGATAGGGATTACGTCATGTACCAAGCACTCTCTAACGTCTGGCATTATCTTCGTCTAGCGCGAGTCTAGCCGGCTCCAGTCCGAACCGGTACTAACGCCGGCCGCCGGCCGCCGCCGCCACCGCCATTGCCATGCCGCGCTGTCACCTTTGCCGTCTGGCATACATAGGCAAGGGCATACGAGACACGTCACCGTATACACGTCGGGGGATTCATGAAAGGACACACGCGCGTATTCTATCCGCTAACTAGGTGTTGTCGCGACGGCGCGTACGTGTGTGCGTTCGTGTGCGCGCGCGGGTGTGCGGGTATGACGGTGCGCATTCGCAAGCACGGTCGCACGTGTGTCGGTGCGTATGCACGCACCGTCGCGAATACGCGCGCATCCACACGTACACACGTATTTTTGCATGCACGCGTACCGCTACATAACTCGCGCGACAGATACATGCGAACGCTCGTCCCCTCTCTCTCTCTCTCTCTCTCGCGCGCGCTCTTTTTCGCTTTTGCCGCCCTCCCTCCCCGTCTATCGTATTCCTTCTTTCGCTCTCACCCTCGCGCCGTCCCTTCGTCCGTCCTTCTCTTAAGTCTCTCTCTACCCCCCCTTCCCCCGACCGCCCTCTTTAAGTACCCCCTCCCAAAACTTTTTACTCTTTCTCTCTCTCTCTCTCTCTCTCTCTCTTTGTTTTTCTCTCCTTCATTCGCTCCCTCTCCTTCTCCCTGCCTTCGTCTCTTTCTATTCCGTTCGCTCCCTCTCCGTCTTCCCCAAACTTCTTCCTCCGTCTCTAGCGATCGCGTACACCGTGGAAGCCGCACAGGCGGCCGAAGGCCACCGGTCTCAGCTGTGGACGTACCTTGATCGTCGAGCGAAAAGTGAAGTGTGGACCTCCTTTGCTCGGCGTCCTTGTCCGTTGATGCTAGGCCCCCGTGGTTCTACTATTCCGATGCGACGACGACGACGACGACGACGACGACGACGACGACGACGACGACGACGACGATGATGATGATCACGTCGAACCTTTGCTCCGACTTCCGCTCTTTCTTCTGCCCGTGCCAAACTTGTCGCAAAGGAGGGAGAGAGCGCCTGTGTCGCGTTCGCTCCTTTCTGTTTTTCTTTTCTCTTTTTTTCCTCTTCAAGTCGGACTATCGCACGCGTCTCTGTCGCCCGATTTCAACCGTACCGTAACGATTCTCTTCCGGCGACGGAAATCGGCCGAGAAATCCTCACGAAGAAACGAAACGGTCGCGTAACGACAGTTGTATCGTTCGCCAAGCGAGCCTCGATGACAGGCGGACCCGTTTCTCCAGATTTTCGCGTCGTCTCACTCGTAGATTTCGTACGGACACCGTATGGGAAACGAAAGGAAAAAAAAAATGATTAGATCTTTCTCGCGCTGCAACTCCTTCTCATTCCTCCTCTTCGACTCGTCATTGGAATCGACGCGACGACACTTTCTCGCTCCGACGAGACGCTCTTCGCGGGCCTCTTTCGCCGCAAATTCGTCTTCTCGATGGCTTCTTCGTTTGTTTTTTTTCGAGATCGTTGATCGTCGAGGAACGTCGGACGCGATTTAACGGAGGGTATTAGCGCAGCGTGGCATCTCTCTCACTCGCACCTTGCCCGAGAATCGCTGCTTCTCTTCTTCGAGGAGTCTCCCTTTCCCTCTTCTTCTCGCGTGGAACCCGCGTAACTGGATCACCGTAACGCGTACTCGCGATCCCGTAGGTACACGCATGGACGCGCACTGCTTTTCCGCCTTGTCCTTGACGCGAGGTCGTCCTCTCCGTTATAACAGAAGAATTACACACTCCTTCCTGCCGACGATGCAACGTGCCACCGGGTTACCATGCCGCGCGAAACCGCGGATGCGAGCCACGTCCGGTGGCTACGTGTCTTCTCGCGTGCGGGAATCGGGTCGAGAGATAAGGACGCCGGGCCAAAGGATAAAAAATGAAAAGGGAAGTAAAATAAAACGAAAGGAGGAACGAAAGAAAAATAAAAGAAAGAACGAGAGGAGAGAAATTGCGGTAGGACTCGGAACCGAGCGAGGAGGTGACGAAATATTGTCCACCTTACGCGCGTAACACCCGCCGTAAGGATCGTGAGAGAGCGAGCGAGCAAGCGAGCGAGCGACGACGGCGACGACGACGACGACGACGACGACGACGACGGATGCGTCCGCGCGTTTAGAATGTCCTGCGTGTATTATCTTGCGCGCCGACCGCGTCGAGGACCGAAGGACCCAGCTGCTCCTCGCCGCTTCTTTTGGGACACACACCGGGGGACTACCTAGTCGTAGAGTGATTGGGAACGCGACTGGCCAAAGCACTTGATTCGCGCGCGGTTCGGTTTGCCCGTTGCTGCGCCTCTCCCGTGCAGTTTTTTCGGCAGTCCTGTGGTATGCGTGCGCGCCCGGCGTGCATGTATGCGTGCCGAGTGTCCGCGAGCGCGCGACCGCGCGCGTGTGTACGATTCTCTCTTTCTTTATCCTCCTCTCTCCCCCTCTCTCTCCTTCTCCCTCTCCCTCTCCCTCTTTCTTTCTCTCTATCCGCACGAAGAGCTCTTTTTCATTCTCCTTCCCTCCTCGTCGTTCTTCCTATATCCCTCTCTCGCTTCCCTCGTTTTTAACACGAGCGTGTGCCGCCCGCTTGCACACACGCGTGCATGTGCCGGGGCCCCTCGCGTGTGCGTGCGTGGCCCCGTAATGTACGCCGAAGAGCGACCCTGCGCGCGCGAAAAAGAGAGGGAGCGAGGTAGGAAGAGGGCGAGCGAGCGAGCGAGCGTATATGCGATCGCGTATACGTGCGTATGCACGTAAATATATACGTGTATGGACGAGCGTACACGTATATATCCGTCCGCTCCGGCCCGTCGTCGTCGTCGTTGTCGTAGTCGTTGTCGTAGTCGTTGTCGTCGTCGTCGTGCGGTGCGTGCGTGCGTGCGTGCGCGCGCGCGCGCGCGTCCCGGGTAGGCGAGGGTATAGTTACCGAAATGTTAACCTCGTGGAACTACTTTTTATTGAGTGTCGCAAAATTCATAGGAACCTCGCGACGCGCGGAGAGGGGTTAACCCGGCCCCCGCTCCTCGCGCGGACCACGCTGGCGGGGCTGACGTCGCGAGAGGGACGGCAACCCCTACCCCCCCTCCGTCGTACGGGAGCCCCCGCGGCATCCCTCCGCGTATCACCAGACGCTCCCTCCTCCTCCTGCTTCTCCTGCTCCGTCACTTCCTTCTCCTCGTTCTCCTGATCCGCGTCCTCATCCGCGTCCTCATCTTCGTTTCCCGCCCCTCGCTCCCCGCCGAGCCCGGGCCCTGGTCCTCGCCGATTCTTCGGCCCCACCATTTCCTCGCTAGCGGCCCCCGACCCTCGGTTTAGTTTCTTCCTCCCCCTCCCCCTCCCCCCTCTCGCGCCCTGGCACCCTCGGTCTCGAGTTTGTGCACCGTTTCCCCTCGCTTCGCCTCGAGTTCTCGAGTCTCGCGTTCGCGCCGACCAATCGCCCTCTCTCCCTTCTTCTCTCACTCGTGGCCCATCCGCCCGTTTCTCTCTTCCCTTCTGTTCTCTTCTGGCCCGTCGTTTTCTTTTCGCCCGTGCCTCTCCCTCCTTTTTTTCTGTCCTCTCTTATCCTTTCCTATTCACCCTTCGTTGCGTTCTCGCGAGCCCTTCTTTCCAGCTCGCCTTTCCTTCTTCTCGCTTCTCTGCTTCTCTGCTTCTCCTCTCGTTCTTCTCGTCTCTCGTCTCTCGTCTCTCGTCTCGTTTTGTCTCATCTCCATCGTCAGCTCTCGAAACGAAGTAAAGAAGTCTTGTTGCTTCTCCTCCTCCCCTCCTTCGGTTCTAGCGTTTGACATCGCCGACACTCGTCCTCCTCCTCTTCCCAGTCGTATTACCACCCTGTCGTGTCCGGCATTTAGCCTCTCCATAAGCAAACTATACGCTTAGCTCCGTGTATAAATGTCATTGAGCTTGTTTTATGCACATCTATGCGCATAATATCGTGCACCATCGTTCATTGTTAAATGACGGACAATCGCTCTTAGAAAATGGATTAAATTGAAAGACTAGATGAAATTGTGTTTCAATCCATCTTCCAAGAATCTCTGTTTTAAACCAGTTTAACGGTATAGGAAAAATTAATAAAAGTGTATATTACGATTGCGCTTGTGTGCGATACTCGGGAAGCACTTATCTCACTTTGCAAAAATCATTACTTGTACACATAAATATTTTTACAATCAAATCATCTTGTTTTGTCTCCGTGACGATTCCTCTGATTATGTCATCGACAATCTAAATTAATAGTCACCATTCTCTGTCTGGTTACGTTGATAGAGATTTTATAGATCTATAACAAGCCATATCTTTTCTTGGAGAGAAACCAGCGAGAGACGGATGGAAAAAATTATTAAAACACTATTATTATCGACACTAGAAGCGACGAGTGACTTGGTGCATAATTGATCCATGAGAGATATATATCGTCATGGTTATGTGGAAGAAAAACATTTCGTAGAGACAGACGGAAACTCTTTTAAATCGTCAGCGCTGCGGGATGTAATCGATATTTTTTAATGATATCTTTTTCACCGTTAATTCGATTTTTTTCCTCGCCAATTGTCAGCCGCATTAATCTATAAATGAATATCTTTTAATGTCACTTATAATTCCGATGCATCTGTGTCAATACACTGCAAGGTGTTTTCTCTCTCGACTGTATCTTTACCGAATGTATCTTTAGATTAGAGCGATAAACGACGAATGCAGATTGCCGTCCTTCGGTCGTTTAATCGAACAGACCGCGATCGATGTTCGCTAGCCATTCATTGGGATAACGAGCCCGAGGATTTGGCAATACCGAACCACTTGTCGCAAACGTCATCGAGCAATCGTTTAAGGTGCCACTTGCACGATTTAAAATGCTTGAGGAAAGAGAGAGATTTTAATCGATTTAACCTATTTAAGATACGTCATAGATTGTCTCTTTCGCACTGAGAAAAAAATCTGGTTGCATTAATTAGAATTCTGGTAGATTCAACTAGTATGTCTGTAGGAAAATGGACGAATCAGAATTCTTGTAGAAATTACCAGATGAATCCGATTAATTTCTTCCTGTTAAATTTACCAAATTTTCTGATTAATAATACCAAACTTCCCAGCACCAAGTCGTCTAAAATTTTTTTCCATCTAATCTCAAAAGTCTGTTTAATATTTTCAATTCCAACGCGATTATTGCATAAATTCAATCCAGATTATTGAATAAATTATTTTCAGTTTGTTAGAAATTTAACTGATAAACAGTGATGCAAGAAGAGGATGCAGCTTAAACACACGCAATCAGAGAGCTAGCCTCCTCTTTCTGGCAATACTGCTCGTAAGAGAAAGAAAATATACTTTGGATTTAATGTTAATTCTAGTTCTTTATATACATTTCATGGCAAATATTGAATACGAGTTAAGTTGAGAAGCAAGCAAAGAAATTAATGTAACAAGAAATTTTATAGATTCAACCAGAAAATACTAATTAAATCTTTATAGTAAAATCTATTAAACAGTCTAGTTATAAAAAATCGAGTCTTTTATGACCACTAGAAAACACTTCTTGTTTGATTTAACCAAAATGCCTTCAATCATATACGTCTTGTTGGTACAATCAAACGATTTTTCTCAGTGCGATGATTTAGTTGGCGAGATGATAAAAATTTTGAATCATTTCGTGTGCACATGTGTATGCATAAAACATTGGCAATTCCATTGGGAACGAAAACAACCGAAACATTCGAAAACATCGAGCAAGCTGCATCTTTAAATTCGAATGAAAATATGGATTCTTGCGGAAATAACGGATCGTAAAGTTTTCAATCCGAGAAGCACTTACAAAGTACAGAGATGACGTATTTAATGACGTAATTTCAGTTTTCAACTTTTCATACAGGAGACGATTACAGTCGGAAATTTCATTCGATGCCGCTCCTTCGTTTCGCTCGGATATACTTTCGAGTAATGAATAATATTTTTGATATTCCGTTCCGCTAGAAAATTTATTTCGCTAACAATATATAAAAATACTTGAGTTTTTTAGTGAGTTACTTAAACGTCATATATATGCTTTTACGGCTTTTACGTTTTATAGTTCTATAAAGTAAAAAATTTTAAATTTTATGATTAGGTTATCGCATTATTTATTAACTTTATGGTTTATAAATTGTTACACTCTAGGAAGTACGTTAAGATTAAAATTCGCGATAATAAAAAATAACTAGATAAACAAGTATTTAAAGAGATTTTTACGCAGAATTTATATCCGTAGAAAAAAAGGAGAGAAAACCGAATGTGTGTTAACTACCAATTAGATCGCGACTTTAGGCTTATTGCGATGTACTGTCAAACCTAACGAGGTAGTTTTTAAGAACGAATAAATGGATGCGCGAGATAGTAATCTTGTTCCTGATCCTCGAATTTCAACATGATATGGTGCAATAATGTGCTATATAAAATGGCACTTGTATCTTAAAATTCTTTATGCCAAACAATTGTCAGACAGCGTGAATAAGCTACCGTTACTCTTTTGTCAAGGTCTATAAACAAAATCAAATTATTCTTTAAATTATAAAAGTATGATAAAAAATTACATCATACATGAAACAATACATGAATAATTGTGATCGGTTCACTATTCAATTACGCAAATTATTACAGATCGAAAGGTAAGATAACTAATGATAGTCTGGCAATCATGTACTAATGTAGGACGTGCGCAATAAGCATTAATTTCATTAAAGAAGAAGCGCCAAAAACTTTCAGATTTCTTTATAATAATTTTACATATAAAAATAATTACTATATAATTATAATTTCAAAATAAAAGAGTCTAGAGAGATAAAAAAAAATTTTTTTTAAATTTCAAATCACAAAAACATTATTTTTTATATACATAGTAGCCACGAAATATTTTTATATCATTGAGATTAAATGTTAATTCTAGTTCTTTATATACATTTCATGGCAAATATTGAATACGAGTTAAGTTGAGAAGCAAGCAAAGAAATTAATGTAACAAGAAATTTTATAGATTCAACCAGAAAATACTAATTAAATCTTTATAGTAAAATCTATTAAACAGTCTAGTTATAAAAAATCGAGTCTTTTATGATAACTAGAAAACACTTCTTGTTTGATTTAACCAACATTATTTTTTATATACATAGTAGCCACGAAATATTTTTATATCATTGAGATTAAGAAGATGCTTACGTATTATATTTCTGACAGAATTTATAATTTCCATTATTTTTACTTATATTTTTTGTTATTTTTACATTTTTTTTATTCTAAAAAAAGAAAGTATTAGTAGGAAAATCATCGATGAGAGAGAACATGTTGATTCACCTTGGCCGCATACAAAGACACGGAGAGCAAGACGAAGAGAGGTACGACATCATCGCGCCTTATGCAAGCGCCGCTATATCGAACACCGCCCGGTT